GAAGTGCTACATAGACTGTCCTTTTATTCTCTTTTGTACAGCACCTTGTACAGTGGGATACTAGGCGTGACAAGGGCTCCAAGAAGCTACAGTAATATAAATAATACATAAATCATAAGTAAGTGTGGAATGCCCTCCACTTCCACTCCCCACAAGTCTACACCATTGCTTAAATTGATCTAACTTGCATTGCTCAGGAGTATGAAAAAAGACACTATCCTAAGCAGCACAAGTTGCAGCAATCTAAATGCAGTCCACACCGGCACTATGCCAGCAGAAGAAACTCCTCCACCTCTGACATTGCCTCTCACAGAAGTAGAGTAATTTCCCATCGGCATGAAGCATCTTCAACAGTGGCGCAGCTGCATCTGTAGGGCTGCACCACTGTAGCACTCCTAGTGTAGACCTGCCTGCAGCATCATGCACAATTAGGCCCTGTATTGAATGCTAGTATAATGGGGCCAGATTCTGTGCATTGAAAGAGATGGGAGATGAGTGGGCAGGATCCGGACAGAGCACTCCCAGATTGAAGAGCACACAAAATGAACAAGTTATGGAAGAGAGCCCATTCTCCTTAAGCGCTCTGGGGCCATAATATTCTGCCCTGGAATCACCGGCACAACCACCCCCACTCCATTCCCACCCTCCCCTGTGGGGCTTGTACAGCCCTTAATGTGTTTGGGTTCCTACTTAAGGGCCCAAATCCAATTCCCTCTGAAGTCAGTGAGAGTAGGATTTGTAGCCAGATCTATAGCTTAGGTATTAATTATACAGATTACTTAAGAATCCCCAGTTATCACTTTGAGGATGGAAAGATCCTTGTCCCAAGAGCATGCCAAGTATTCTTCAAATTATTATATATCTGGGAACTCCCACATGCACCACTGCAGCACTCATACCATAGGAAGTCTTCTGTATCTACAAACAACTTATTAAACCATTTAGCACAGTCACAAACACTCCAACCTTACTAGAGAGTTAGAGTTACCACAGAATGTACATCTGATCATGCAAATACTTGCACCATCCCTCACAGGACACCTGGAAATGTTAGTCATCATCTTCCTCAGAACTATCACCTTTCTCCACTTCCTCCTCAGTGACCATCATTCCAGCACCTCCCCTACTGCTGACAAGCTCGGATGCAACTTTATAATATGTTATGCTGACACCACTATCTCTAATGCAGGGGTGGGCAAAAGGGCCTCCGCGGGCCGGATCCAGCAATCCAAGTAAGTTGATCCGGCCTGCAGAGGTCCTGCCACGCCACTACCTCCTGGCCAATCAGGGTCTGCGGGCAGGAGGAAATGCACAAAGTCTCTTCCCACCCTGTCCCGGCCATGAAAGAACTGCGTGGCACTTAGAAGCGGCACACGCTCCTTGCAGGGTGGGAGACTTTGTGTGTTTCCCCTTCCCCCAAAACCCGATTGGCCTGGAGGTGGAAGGAATGCGTGAAGTCTCCTCTCGCCCTGCAAGGGGCACATGGTGCTTAGAGTCACCCGCCAGCTGCTGCTCAGCTGGTGGGTGACTCTAAGCATGGCACTCCCTTGCAGAGCAGGGGCAGGGAGCGAGAGACTTTGCATGCTCCTCTGCCCCCAGGCCCTGATTGACCTGGGGGAAGAAGGGGAGCATACAAAGTCTCCTCCCATAGCCAGGGGCACGAGCACCTAGAGGGAACTGCCAGCTGTTCATAACAGCTGGCGGGTCTCTCTGGGGGAGGGCTGAGGCAAAGACTTCACAGGTGGGGAAGCATGGAAGTGTTCTGAACCCGCCTCTTCCACCTGAGGCCCCGCCCCTTCAGGGGTAGCCCAGGGCCATTTCAAAAATTTCTGAAATGATTGCCCACCCCGATCTAATGTATATTCAGTAGGGGATTTTCCACTTTTCCACCCTACTAATGCTGAGGAGACCTTCTTCTAAAGCAGGGGCAGGGAACCTTTTTTGGTTCGGGGGCCACTAACCCACATAAAAATCAGGGGCCAAATCCAGCCCCTAGGTCTTACGTTCCCTGTTCTAAAGGTTAGCACATGAATACGTGTCACTACCATTTCAGCTCATGAGTGAATGGTTAATGGTAAGCCATTTTGCATCCTTAATGCTCATACCTATCTCCCCTGTTTAAGCAAATTTCCAGTTATTACTTCCATGTTCTTTGCAGTACCACTTAAGGGAACATTCTATGCCCTATCATTGAGTAAGCTCTTCTCAATACCCAAAATATAAAGATTACCCTCAATCTATGCCAAGGGCTACAGCCTACTTAACCACACTTAAGCTAACTTATGCTTCAGCTAATAGCTTCTAGGATAGAGGCCTGGAGGTTTCTTGCATTATGGCTGAATATAATGATAGCAGCTAATTATAATTAAGGCCAGAATATAGCAAAGGCAAGCTAGACCAAGTAACTCATGACATATGTGAAGCCATGAAACTATAAAAAGCTATTGCATTTATTTTGGAAATAAGATACCTTAGAAGTCTTTTTTAGTGACCATAGGGACTGATCCTGCTCCCATTCAGGTCAATGGCCATGGGTTAATCAGGTCCCAGTCCTAAAAGGTGCTGAGTTTCCTCCTTAGAGAAAATGTTCAGGCCCTTAGTCCTTACTCATGTAAATTTCCCACTGAAATGAACAGACCTGATCCTGAGAAATGCTGAGCACCCACAATTCACTGAAGGGACTCTGATCACATCAGCATTTGGCCTATCCTGCATGTCTGGTGACTGGTAGATGCTATTCTTACATGGAACTCATCCCCATGGTTTCTGAACACCTAACAAGTTATTTTGGATACCTCTTCTCATTATAGGAAACATTTGCACAAGTAATACAAAATAAGTGTGTAGCACAGGCTCAGAATGCATGTATTTCAAACACATAAAGCACATTCCTGTCCCAAAGAGCTTCCAGTGTACCAAGAAACAAAATACAAATGACGGGTGGAGGAAAAGGATATGTTACACAAAGTGATCAGAATGATGTAAGGCATGCAATACCATTTTTCCAAGCTATTAGGGCAGCTGGTTTGAACTGGGCATGTGACTCATGAAAGCTTATAACTGATGGAGAATGCATTAGGTATATATTAGCTCTGGAAAGGTTTATATGTAGGTTAATTTGATGGAAGGTCTTGCAGGAGAAGGGGACTCTAAGGTTGTTTGAAATACATGCCTACAAAACTCAGTACAGGGTTTTTAAAGAGTGGTTTAAATGAGGCAGAGTGGATCATAGACAAACAGATTTTGGGAGTTCATTTCAATCATACAGGACTGCCTAGAAAAAGATGGAAGTGATTGTGAAAGAAGGCGGTACACCGACTTCCCAAGTCTCTTCTCTCAAAAGTATCTTGTCTTAAAATCAGAAAATACAGAGCAAGATATAGGTTGTAACCTACATACAAAGAGTTATTCCCAGAGCTTAAAATATACCTAATGCATGCTCTATCAATTGTCAAAAGCTTTCCTATGTCACATGCACCATTCAAACCAGCTACCCCACTAGCCTGAAAAATGTCCCATAATCTGGGGCTTAGTTTTTCAAGCAGTTCAACTGTAATACTTTAAACAAAGCAAAACAGGAGAACAACATGCTGGTTCATGTGATGTACATCATGAAAAAACACACTAAGTTAATGATTTAGCAATAAGGCAGTATTATACCACTACAAAGAAACCCATCTCAATAATAAACCTGATCTTTCACTCCTTACATAGTCAGAACTCCTATGAAATTCAATGGGAGACTTGTCCAGTAGCAGGATGAGAGCCTTAAACCCAGTGGCTCTACTCATGGGAGTAAATGCTACTTATATGATTAGAGTTGACAGGCTCAGGATCCGGCTTCACAATCCACACAGACTAGAGAACTTTACTTCTTTCTGGTTAAAGCAACCAACTTCAGGAATAACTTCTCAATCTTCTACCACAGAATTTTTGTTCACTCTGTGTTACAGAATTTTTAAAAACAGTGATATCCAATATCCATACTGTTTTGCATGCACATCCACGCAACATTCTAAAACAAATGTATTTTAGAGGGACACTGTCACCTTAAAATATGTTGTAAACAAATACATTTTTCTATAATATGAAGAACATCTTTACAAATTATTTTCAAAGGTAAGAATTTTAGAAATCCAGCTTCTTTATAACCACATGTAACATTATGGACTAGATTTTAGTTATCATGTTCCTTTAAGCAATCTGATCCTTAAAATCTGTCATCAATTAGTCCTTATTCCATCTCTTTTCCCCAGTTTTCATAAAATGCAATTTTCACCATGTGTATTCAAGGGAATGTATTTAGATGAAGACATGAGAAAGACTTTTAAATAAAACAGCACCTCATTTGATGATAACAAGATGCTCATTCTTGATGATAGCAAAAAAAAAAAATTCAAGACATATTTTTAGCCCATAATGAGATACTGGTAATTTTCTCCTTGTTCAGAACAAGTTCCAATGAGCATTATGCCTACAATGATAAAGCAAAAAGTGGCATAATCTGCATTTTGTACGAGAAATTCCCACACCTTTTTCAGGGTTTAGCCTTTAAAAATGTGAGCTCACAGGTGCACTGGTGACTTTATATTCTCACAGCATTCGTGTCCTATAAATTTCTACAGGGCCAGCTCTGAATCCAGGCTGTGAATTACCAGCCTTAAGACAAAGCCAATTCTATTTAGCACCTTTCTCCCTATATTTCAGAGCTCTCCGTGTAGCGTTGCCACTGCAATCGACTGCTCTTGCAGCGGGTTGTTCTGCATGTGTGTGTTCTGGTGTCGATTTACCAACGCTCCCCACTACATCCACTGGACTTTACCGGCTGCAGCACACAAGATCGGGGCTCCCCTTGGACCTTCCACCAAACCTCCCCCAGTGACTGGAAGGGGAGCCTTAGAGAAAACCACAGACACCGGAATGACAACACAACCCCTCTGCCGCCCCCTCCCCCCAGCAATACAAATAATGCGCCGCAGGAGAGCATCCCGGATACTCACACGAAGGCGTGATACACCAGCGCCCACCCTCTGGGTCTCTCCAGGGCATCGTAGATTAAAGTTTGGATCCTCCTGTACTTGGCGTTGTTCCTCTTGACAGGTCGGCTCAGAGGGGTTTTCGCCAAAAGCCCTATGCCTTGCGGATTCCTCCTCCCCCCGCCTTCCTTCCCGGAGCCTTCCAGCAGCAGGGTCCCATCTTTATCCGCCCCAGCTCCCAAGGCCCCTTGCTCCAGATCCCCAGCCGCAAGTCCTACTTTCTCCTCCTCTCCCTCCCCGCCGCCAGCTGCTGCCTTCCTGGACTTGAGTCCCATCGTCTGGCCTGG